AATAATAATAATAATAATAATAATAATAATAATAATAATAATAATAATAGTAATAATAATAATAATAATAATGCATATAATAATAGCAATAATGATAATGATGATGATACCATAATTATGATAAAAAGTATTCAGTGATAAATTTTCACAATTGTGAGAAAATATTAAATGCACTGTGTTTCTTATTCTTATTAAAGCCATTAAGATTTCGTCATAATTATAAAGAATTTTGCATTGTTAATAATTCCCAATTTAGTAGCGACACCAAAAACAGTGAAAACTAATCCCCAACAAAATAAAAATAATAATGATGACATTGATCAATGATATGCAAGTAATGACACACACTAATGACATTTTAATATACGTATATATACATATGTTGACAGACCTTGAATGAATACAAAGGTGAAATAACAATTAATTTACTGTGTTATTATTTATAACTATAATTTATAGAGTTACTTCTGATGTTCATTGAAGAATCAGTATTTTACAGGTTACTGAGGAGTGGTCATGACCTGGTTAGGGAGCATGAGATTGAAGTAGTGATAGAGAACATGCCTGATGAATTGGTAGACATCGAAATTGATGAAATTTCCAAAGATATTAGGAAATATTTTGATTCAGATGCATGGTCTCAATTAATTTACACAGGTTATCATAATCATGCCATTTTTGTTATATTAATTACTAAAATCCTGCAGTTACCACCAAGAAGCAGGAATGGAAATGCCACTTGTGTACTAATATCACTAGCAAAATGAATATGGTTCAGTGCGATGGACAGTGTTCCTTGTGGTTCCACTGGTAATGCTCACTTATAATTAATTTTACAGAATATATCATCTTTTTAAATTAGGAACTGTGTGAATATCTTGGAAGAGCCAGAGAATGAGTGGTTTTGTGATAGCTGCAAAACTAATACAAGCAATTTTGATACTGGGATATAATAGTCTCGCAAGCCTGTAGTCATATAAACAAAATGACCGTAGGTGTGGAGGGTCTGGCTTGCAAGACTAGGGACATGATGTATTGTATACATACTTTATGATATAAGAAATAATCATTTAATTACTATGCTCTTATTTGTATATGCAATCACGTAATTATTTTAGTAATTGTGTTACAAAAATTATTTTAAAATCACATTAAAACATAAAAAGTTACACACATCAAAACTATTGCCTGCATTATGCCAATAAGACATTTGTTACCATGCAATACCTATGCTGCCATCCATTACCATCAATGCTATCATTACCATTATTACCAGGAGTCCATTATGGACTCCTGTTATTACTTACATTACCTAGATTACCAATATTACCCACATTACCATTACTACAAGGCATTACCATTACTACAAGGCATTACCATTATTACCTACATTACTTATGTTACTTACATTACTTACATTACATACATTACTTACATTACCTACATTACTTACATTACCTACGTTACCATCATTACCTACATTACTTACA